ATATTCTACCAACTATTGTACAACTAGATACATTAACTACTTTTTTGTAGTTGAATAAAAGTATCAAGATATAAGCATATCTTCAGGAGGGCAGTTGAAGAATGCTTGGCTCAGCTCTCAAAGCAGACGTGTTGACAAAGATGGTATGTTCTTTGTTCTAGCCCTACATAATTTTGATTTCTTCTACCACATTTTTGTATTTGAAAGGTTTTTTGTTCAATGCAGTTTGGAGATTATGAGTATTTGTTATAAGTTCCCTCATCTATAAGATTGAGGGGGTTGGACATGACCCCCTCGATCTTACAACTAATTGGCTAGTTCTAATGCTGTGATCTAAGGAACATAGAGAATGAGGAAGATGAGAAAGCAAAAAAAAAAAATTAAATTAATGAACAAAAACACCAAAATTCTTAGTGAGATCTTCAATACTTATTTGAAGCTTATTAAAGTGAAAGGTATTTGGGTGAAAAAATAAGTATCTCTGCAAATTTAAATCTTAACATTTTAGAGATGAAAGGATGTTAGAAATAATCTATTCCAGTTGCTCATTTCTAGGTGAGGATGTTTTGAATCAGAGAAGTGTGAAGTCTTGCCCAGGGTCACACAGTTAGTGGCAGAGTCTAGCTGAAAATCCATTTAAGATTAACTCACATTGGGTCCTTGCACACATAGCTTTTTAAAAAGAGATGGATCGGGGCACCTAGGTGGTACAGTGTATAGAATACTGGCCCTGAAGTCAGGAGGACCTGAGTTCAAATCCGGCCTCAGACCAAACACATGACACTTACTAGCTGTGTGACCTGGGCAAGTCACTTAACGCCAATTGTCCAAAACAAAATAAAAAAAAGAGATAGATCATAAAAATCCATCTAAACCTCCTTCCCCTAAATTCCAAAACAAGGAACATTTATTGAGTGTGAATGTTTTTTTATGAGGCAGCTAGGTGGTACAGTGGATAGGGCACCAGGTTTGGAATAAGAAAGATCTGAGTTCAAATACAACCTTAAACATTTACTACCTATAGGACTCTGAGCAAGTCACTTAACCCTGTTTGCCTGCATTTCTTCATCTCTAAAATGAGCTTGAGAAGGAAATGGCAAACCACTCCAGTATCTTTGCCAAGAAAACCCCATGGATGATTGTCCATGGGGTCACATAGAGTCAGACACAACTGAACAGGAACAGCAATGTTTTGGTAGCTACGATATTAATTTAAGGCCAGATTTGTGATATATTAGAATTGTGCCTTTTATACCCTTAAAACATATTTTTATAATGGCATAGGAATTCAGAAGAGAGAGAGGACCCAGTGAGAACAATAGTGGTCAGGAAACAGGACTTTAACCAGGACTTGGTTAGATGGGATTGGATAGGTGGAGCCTGGGCATTCCAGAGAGCTGATAAATGTCCCCTGGGAAAGAGCCAAAGAGAAGATTAGTTTGAGGTGATGGCAGATGAAAGGAATTGACTTGGTGTACAGTGGTATGGGGGTGAGGGGCAGCTTAGAACAATCATAGACTAGGGTGAAGAGAGGTGAGGAGAAGCTTGGCTTGTGTTAGTTTTTTCTTGGTGTTCTGGATTTTCCTTAAAAGGTTCTTTTGTTACACAGACCTCTGCGAGTTCTGACGCACTTCAGCGCATTAATTTATTTGTTTTTAGAGCAGATCGTAAAGGGCTCATATGACTTGGCACTCCATGGAGATATATATATATATATATATATATATATATATATATATATATATATATATATATATATTCTTTAATCTGTGGGCAGCCTTCATGCATTGTGCATCTGATTCAGACTTGGACAAATTGGCTGTGAATGGAGTGATAAGAATAGAGAACAGCACATACCAGCAGACCCAACTTCCTGTGCTCAGACCTTTGAATACTGTGTTTCACAGGCCCAAATAGCATTCCTCTTAACACTGAGATCGCTTATTCCCTGGTGACTTAAGCAATAGCATTGGCTTCAGCAGAAACTATTTTAGGAAGGAGATGTAGGAGGAAATATGTATCCTGGGTTGTTCAAAAGTTCCTTATGCATTTATCAAGATTCTAGCATTCGCTATATTCTTAGAGATTAAAAATTGGTGGTTTCCAAGTTGTCCAAACTTCCCAATGCTAATTTCTACATGCCATGAACCCTAAAATGTAATGAAAAAGACTGTTTTGGATATCTTTTTGTGGTTGAGTCATTTCAGTTGTGTCTGACTCTGTGACCCCATTTGTTATTTTCTTGGCAAAGGTACTGGAGCAATGTGCCATTTCTTTCTCCAGCTCATTTTATAGATGAGGAAACCGAGGCAAACAAGGTTAAGTGACTTGCCCAGGGTCACATAGCTAGTAAGTGTCACATAGCTGTGAACTCATGAAAATGAGTCTTCCTGATTCCAAGCCCAGTGCTCTATCCGCTGTGCCACCAAAAATGGACATTTATATAGCACTTTATCAATTGCCAAATGCTTCCCTCACATTGTCTGAGCCCCACAACAATACTTCAAGATAGGTACTACAGGTATTATTATTCCCATTTTACAGTGAAGGAAACTGAGTCTTAAAGAAACTAAGTGACTTGCTCAATGTATAACTCATAAATGGTTATATATTGAGTATCAGAAGCATAATTTGAATCCAGGTCTTCTTGACTCCAAGATCCCTTTGATCCAATTAACTTGAATTAGAGAAAAGAAATTTTGTGGAGAAATTCTAGACTGTAAAACAGGTGCTTTTTTGGGGGGAGGGCAATGTTTTTAGGACTATTTCCCTGCTGCAGTTCAATGTGCATCCTCTTGCTTCTCCATCATAAGCACTTATTCCTACCTGGGTTATCAATACATTATATGTATTCCTACATAGTTGTTGCCTTTTTTTTTTCTAGATGGTTGGAACAACTTTACCATGACAGTTTATTGTCATCCTGCTTCCCTGCTCCCTCCCTCCCTCCTCCCCTATAAAGCTGAGGTGGGTCAGACTTGGCATTAGCTGGAGCTGAGACAGCAGCTGCGGAGATACATAAGTGGTGTTGCTGCATTATTCAGTACAGAAGCTTAGGAACAAGGTTATCTGTTTTAAGGATACTTGTCATGGGAACAGACTAACTATGAAGAGAGAGTCGGGAGTATTGAAGAAATTCAGGGAGTAAAAGAGTGAAAGGGAGGTGGGCAGTCACAGTGATTTGTCTGAACATTCCTTTTGATCCATTCTTGTATTTTGTCTTTTAGAGCAGAGGCAGAAAGTCCGACACTCCTTAACTAATTTGCATGTGCAGTTATTGCATTTAACTGATTTAATTGGGGTAAGGGTAAGGGTAGGAAATTTTCACTTTTCTATTTGCTGCCAACTTAACTATTAGTATTGTGTTAGTCTTTGAATTAGTTGTCAGTTGGTATTTGAAAACAATGCAGACTAGTGCTCACTTCATTTGTGGTTTGGTTCCTGTGTTATTATTGATAGGCAGTCTTCCACAGGGTTTGGTTTGGTTTTGTTTTTCTGTCATGCAGAAAAAGTAATGACCAATCCAGATTGGGGACCCAGAAAAAAATTTTAAAAAGTAGTAGTAGTAGTAGTAGTAGTAGTAGTAGTAGTAGTAGTAGTAGTAGAAGAGTCTGGCTAAATGTTTGCTTATTTACATTGGAATTAATGCAGGGGGTGAAGCTATCAAGGTAAATTTTTTTCCTAAACTAATTCCTTCTTGGCTTATAATAAGTGTTTCTTAAGAAATACATCCTCCATTTGTCACAAATATGTACTGTGGTTTTCTTAAAATTAAATCATAATTTTGCTCAGGGAGCCCAAACAAAATGCATAAAATGCAAAGAAAAGTAAGTGAAGGTGACTGCCGTATATGTCCACTGATTTCTCTAAAATAGATTACTCTATGTTGAACATGATTGTGCATGTATAATCTGTATCAGATTGTTTGCTGTCTTGGGGAGGGTAGAGGGGAGGAAGGGAGAGAGAAAAATTTGGAACTCAAAAATCTTGTAAAAAATGAATGTCGAAAACTATCTTTATGTGTAATTGGAAAAAATAAAATTCTATTAAGTGGAAATAAAATAGGTTACTCAGTCAGCATTTCCAATAACTTGTTATCTGTTATACTCTATTTTCTCCATTTTGCAAGTTTAGACGTGGTATGAATTGTCATTCAAGGTTTAGAACACCAGAGTTACTTTAATTTCTGTTAGTTTACCATGTGGTGATAATGAAGTAACCTTTACTTCAAAGCACAAAGTATCCTGGAAGGGTCTGAAGCATTTTGAAACAAGAAGAATTTGAAAAGAAATGAACCCAACTTTAGCATTGACACATTCTCTGGAGCCTCCTTTCACAGGTGACGAACGACAACTATTTCTGCAGCAATTCAGAGCATAACTTTAAGCCTAAGTGTTAGGAAATTGCCTTCCTGAAAGAGCCAGATGTTTCTGGAGCTAGTTTTGAGAGTAGAGAATGAGGAAAAAGAAGAGAAACCACTGATCAGTCAAGACAATATCCATTGAGTTACTTTGTATCTAGGCATTGTGGTGCTATTAATACAAAAGAATATTGTCAGAACTGAAGTGTAAAGAGAAAGGTTGACTGTAATCTACTACCTATTTTCTCTATCTATCTATCTATCTATCTATCTATCTACCTATCATCTCTATCTTTTATCTACCCCATCACCTATATATTTATCATCTATCTTATTTATCATTTTTCTATCTTATCTCTATAACTATTCATCTATCTTCTAGATATCTTATCTCTTATCTATTGATCTATCTCTAACTAGCACCTATCTATCTTAGTTATCATCTATCCATCTATTTTACCTACAGATCCATTTTTCTACCTGTTTAAGCTCTCTTACTCTTTGATTAGTAAATGTAGCCACTGGAGAGTAATCATGAAAGCACTGAGCATCTCTGATGCGGGATTAGTCTAATTATCTAAAAATTGTTTTTTCCCTGAAAGACTCGCTGATCTCCCCCTTCACTCTCTTTCTACACTAGGAGAGACAGCGCCTGGAAACGATCCTCAGCCTTTGTGCAGAATATACTAAGCCTGACAGTAGCTCAATTGCTATGACCACTGTTGCTGATGTGCAGAAGATTAACAAAGAGCTTGAGAAATTGCAGCTTTCCGATGAGGAGTCTGTGTTTGATGAAACCATGTTACCTCCGGAAACAAGATACAGGTGCCACCGGAAAGCCTCCATTACTGATTCAGAGTTGTCAGCGTTCAGTAGCCTCAGTCAGAATGCTACCAGCTTACCTTCCACAAGGAGTTTCAGAAATGATGAACCCTTCAGTGACCACGCCAAGACTCCCCCATTACCTTCCTCTCTCTTATTGAAGGCTTCCAGTGAGTCTGCCTATCTAAGTATCGTACCAAAGGTAATGCTATTGGAGTGAAAAAAAAAAGTATACACTGCTTTAGTGTCACATGCAGTAACTTAGAATCTTTTGGACCTCACAATTTTAGTTTTCAAATAATTTTTAAGTGAAATACAAGGATCCAACCAACTTCAATAAGTATTCTGGTTGGCTTAACAATAGCATGCTAGGGATTTCTTAAATGAAATTGAAAGAAAGTCTGATAGGTATTTCTAATGTTATCTATGTTGAACATTTTTCATATGTAGCATTTCTTAACTGGATGCCCTTTTGCATTGCCAAAAAGTCACAAGTCTAGAAATTACTTACATCCAACCTGAGGAGGTGACTTAGGATGCAATTCAATTTAACAAGCACCTATCAGGTGTCAGGCACTGTGCTGGGTGCTGGAGATACAAAGACAAAAACAAAACAGTCCCTGCCTTACAAAAGAGCTTCCATTCTACTAGGGGAAACAATATGTACACAGGTAAGTAATTCAAAAATATGCAAAATAAATACAAAGCAACATTGGTGTGAATGAGAGGAGAGCACCTAGAGCTTCTTGTTAGGAAGTAATGCTTGAGCTAAGCTAAGCTCAGGGTTCTAAGATATGGGGAGGGGGGAGGGTCAGAGAAGGGAGAGTATCCCATACATGGACAAACTGTGTGTAAAGGCAGATGAAGGAGATAGAATATTGTGTATAGAGAATAATAATGTGCACAGAGGGAACTAATATGTGATCAGTCTGGAAAGACAGATAGATCGGAGTCAGATTGGGGATGGTATTTAAATGCCAAACAAAGGACTTCGTGTTGTGTCCTAAGAATTCCTGTGCACAGGAATAAAATAGTCAGACATGCGCTTTAGAAATATCAAATGAACAGTTACATGGAGAATAGATTATAGAGGGGAGAGCCTGGAGATAGGGTGAACAGTTAGGAGGCTATTACAGTAGTCCAGAGGAGGGACAGTGAGGACCTGATTGAGGGTCTTTGTGAGTAGAGGAAAGAGGACAGATGTGGAAATAAAATTGACAAAGACTTGGCAACTGATTGGTTACAGAAAGCAAGAAAGAATGAAAATTGAAGCCAATTCCTAAGTTTCAACCTAGGCAATTGAAAAAAAAAATTGGTGCCACCCTCCCCAGAAATATGGAAGTTAGGAGAAGGGGAAGGATTTAGGGGAAAAGATAATTAATTCTGCTTTGGACATGTTGAATTTGAGATTCCCATGTAACATGTGGGGGGAGATGTTAAGCAGACAATTGGAGATATGGACTGGAGCTCAGGAGAAAGATGAGGGCAAGATATGTAGATTTGGGAGTCAGCTGCAAAAAGACAATAGTTGAATTCCCTGGAGATGTTATCACCAAGATGAATAAGGAACAGAAATTGCCTCTATTCTCATTGCCTTTCACATAGAATGTGATGCCTTCAGTCTTTTGGCTCCACTGAAGTTCTTCATTTGAATTTCACCATATGTCTTTTCATAGTTCTTAATTGAAAATGTCCTAGATTTATGCTTTAGAATCTAATTACACAACTCTTCTAAAGAGATTTTATATAACAAAAATCTTTGAAACAATTTTTGTTAATGATCAATCAACAAACATTTGCTAAGTCCTGGTTGTATGACAGTCACCTTCTTGAAAAAGTCCCTGTCCTTCAGAAGAGATAACATGTACGTACTTGTGTATGTACAAAATAGATACTAGATAACTTGGGGAAAGGCACAAAGAGCAAGGGTGACAGGGGAAAGGAAAGGCTTCCTAAAGAAGATGGCACCTCAGCTGAAATGTGAAGGAAACTAGGAGTCTCAACAGGTGGGGTGAGCATAATGGACAACCAATACAAAGGCATGGTGACTAGAGATGGAAAGTTGTAAAGGAAGAATAGTAAGAAGCCTAGCTGGACTGGACCACAATGTGCCTGAATGGGAGTAATGTGTAATAAGGCTGGAAAAGTAGATTGGAGATAGATAGGATGTAAATATTTATGTGACACACAAGAGGTTATATTTTATCCTAGTGGCAATAGGAAGTAACTGAAGTTTATTGAGTAGGGGAGTGACATAGTTTTAAACTTTAAGAACATGCTTTTGAGAGACTGAAATTGGAGTGAGGAGAAACTTAAGGCAGGGACAATTAAGAGGCTAGTGTAAATAGGCTGAGTGAGAGAAGCCCCAGTCAACACAGTCTCAAAACTTTCTCTAGCTCTTTTCAGGACTGAATAACAGCAGAGGAGATGATGAATGGTGAGAGTAACCCAAGTTTGGAATCTATCGAGCATGGCTGGCGATAGAACACTGAGCCAAGGGATTAGAGAGTTGAGGATAATGTAAAGTTGAGTTGGTTAATTAAAGAGTGAAGATTATGAAGGGAGGAAAGTTAAGAAACTACATCAATGGAGAAGTTTAGGAGATGTAAGGGTGGATACATTTAGCAGAAGTAAAGCATAAAGAGAGATTGAAAGATAGGTTATAATTAGATAAAGGAATTTCAGAGATTTTTAATCTGGAGCACTGGTGTAACCTTGCCTGTGTGCAGCTAAGGTGTAATGTAGGAGCAGACCATAGCAATTGAATAGACTGAGGAATTTGGACTTTAGGGTATTTCAGGGATATCAACATATATGTTAAAATCCTCCACTACTGGGACAGGAGTTGAGTGAAGAGGAAGAGTCAGAAACTGAATTCCTTAAGAAAGGAGAGTGAATGACCTAGGGGCCAGTAGATAAGAGCCTCCAGGAGTTGGACTGGGTACTTTAAATTTCAAAGGAGAGATTACCCAGTATTGATTGCTGTAGGAGAGTCAGGAGTGTTCTGACCTTCACCCCTCACCCCACACTCCACCCCACTAGTATGTCAGAGAATTTGAGAGAGGGTACAACTAAACCACCCTGGAAAAGATGGCTAGCATTCAGTGTCATCTGGCAAAATGGTCATTTCTGTACTTTCTCTGGGAAATGGATAGGTTCCTTCCTGGACAGAGTTCAGATGAGAATACTGGTAATACCAGCTGAATAAGGTCTAGCAGATGAACCTAATTAATATAATTTCTTAATTGAATGTTATGGCTGTAGTTTACAGCAACATCTCTTTCCACTAAAGTGGCTCTAGAAAATAGAAATTTAACTACAGGAGAGAACTCAGTAGAAAGCCTGGTGTCACTGATTGAAACAGGTCACAAAGTGATCAGTTTTGAAGACAGTCCTCTCCCTTGTTGCCTTTACCAAAAGAGATCTTGCCTATGTGTCAATTTGAGAGAGAAGTCACCTGACAGCAGTAGACTTCTCTTGAGAAAAACAAAAATTGTAAACTGCACTGACTTGCTTAGCCTCTGTTCCTTGTTAAGCATTTTTAAAAATCCTTTAATACTTGTTTGATAAAATACATGGCTCATTAAAAGTAGACCTTGGAGTTTATAGAAGGAAAAGAACATATTTTTAGCTGCTTTGACTATATAGGGAATTTGAGTGGCATTTAAGTGAGCCAAAATTTTGAAGATACAAATGTCCTAGGAAATTTGATTATTTAGTAATTGACCCTTTTTGACTCTGCCTTCATAAGACAAGGGACAAGTAGAAATTAAGATTCAACTTCTTCTTGAGAAAGTTTTCTGTCTTCCATGGAAGGACTCCATTTGTGGCTAAAAGAACTTTTTAAAAAAATTCTAAAAAGAGAGATTATGTGAAAAGAACTAAAATGAGTACTTTTCTGTGGGGATCAAGTTACTCCCAAGACAGAACATATTTTAAAATATAGAAATAACAGAGATCTATCTCTATGATAATTAAATTATCTGTTTGAGTGTGTTAGTGGCATTCCATCCATCCAGGACATCCCCTTGTTACTGACTGCCTATGGAAATATCATTCTAATTTCAGTCATATCTAAAGCTCCCTTTCTACTTTATTCTACTGGTAGAAAGAAATGCTTTCTTACTTTCAATTCTTCAAATAAAAGAAGTGACTATTAGTGAAATAATGTGTATAAAGTAACTTGTATCTTTAAAACACCATATAAATCATAGAATCATAGATTGACAGTTTGAAGGAATATTAAAGTCCATTTAGAACAACCTCATTTTACATGTGAGGAAATTTAAGTTTAAAGAGATTAAGTGACTTGTCCAATAAATAGCAAGAGTAGGATTTGAACCTGGGTCCAAGGCTTCAACTATGGAGCTTTTTTCTATGTAGAAAAGATTCTTTTTTAAAATGTTTTTATTGATTTCTTTTGTTTTTATTTTCATTTCCCAACGTGTCCCTCTGAAAGCCATCCTCTATAACAAAGAATAAAAAAGCAAGGGGAAAAAAAAGTTCAACAAAACCAACACAGTGAAAAAGTCTGACTGAAAAGATTATATCTAATGTTCCATATCTTTAGTCTCTCTCTTCTTTAAAGGAGGATGGGAGGGGGGGGGGGAAGGTTGGCGGGGTGCAGTGTGGAGGCTGCCTTCTCATATTTCTTCTTTGGGGTCAGCCTTGATCATTTTAATCTCACAACATTCAGTTTCAATTTTTTATAATAATTTCCATTTATATTATTGTTGTCACATATATTGTTTTTCTGGTTAATTTAAAATGTTATTTAAAACCTTAGATTTACTATAAGTTAAGTGATAAATAATCCCCCTTTTCAGGGTTTTTTTATTCTTTTACAATAACCATATGTCATTTTAAATGAGATAGCCCCATGAATAGGCTTTCCCCTTAAAGAATTTACTTTGAGAATTATTTTTAAGGGAAAATGTTCATTTTGGAGAGTTCATATACTTTGATCCATTTGGCCCTTTTTATCCATTGTCAAACTTGACCCATTTTAATAATCAGTTACTTGAAATTGTGTATATTACTTTCGTATTCCTATCATTTTGCCCCCACAGCCCTCATCTCCCACCCCACCACTGACTCCTTGAGTTATTTACCTGTAGAATTAGTCATGTTACAGGTTGTTTGCAGCCAGTGAAATATTTTACTTCCATAAGTGAAAGATTCTATTTTTAATCCACATTGGAAGTTGAAATCTAAGATGTAATGTCAGCATTAACCAAACAGGATACTGGACTAAATGAGGCCTTCCTGCTAGGATTACTTGTCAGTGATTTAGGAATGCCATTCATTGTTAAGGAAATGAATGTCAGATAGCAATAAAAGAGGCAACTGGAGAGTAGGGCAGTGGGATTTTTTTTTTGTTCTGGTAGTTTTATATTCAGTAATAATAATAACTATCATTTACATTGTACTTTAAGATTTACAAAGTGCTTCACAAGTATTATCTTATTTGATCCTCACAACAACCCTGGGAATAAAGTGCCATTATCCCCATTTTACAGATGAGGAAACTGAAACAGAAGCTATATGGTTTTTGTTGTTGTTATAATTTGAATGAAATATAATAAAGAGAATTAGAAAAAGTATGCCATCTTGGTCAGACAAAATTAAGTAATTGTGTATTCAGCTTCTCTTTCAATGTATATTATATGGTATCTTGCATGCCAAACTTTTAGTCATTTTGCATTCTGAGAATTATTTAGTGCGACAAACTGACCTTTCTTGGTCTTTGGGCCTTTGAGGTATAAAACTATATCCCATATCAGAACTTAGAAAAAAATAGAACTTACATTGTATTTTTTAAATTACCTAGCAGGGAGTTCTTATTAAAAGAGACTGATAGTCTAATAACCTGAGAATGGGTAGGAAGTACGTAGGAACAAACGTTAACCATTTTGCGAATGACACTGGCTTTATAAAGAAAGCTTTTGGGAGATTTTCTGAATTAAGAATTATCTAATGTTTGGGGTTTTTTTGTTTGTTTGTTTTACAATAGTTTAGGTACCAAGAAATATATGTTTGTGCTCTTAGTCTTGTCACTTATTACAGAGCAATATCCTTCTACTATGTATAAACATTGAACTTAAGTGTTGAAAGAAATACAAGGCTTAAATAAGATACAGGGCCTGATTTTATGGAACTTATAGTTTCAATAGACTGTCTGTGATTTAATATATTAATATATTGCATGGTATAGTACTTGAGTTTTTGCACAAAAAGTATTTTCCTAGGAATAGTGAAAAAGTAAGAGTAGAAAAAGAGAAAAATATACACACATGTATATGTGTATATATACATATACATACATACATACATATATACATATGTGTGTATAGGTATTCTTTGCATTAGGAAAACTTTACTTAAGTATGACACAGGGTCAGAGGACATGGACCGGAAGATTTTAGCTTACTAGCCATGTAACCTCAGACAAGTTGTCTTACCACACTGGGCCTCAATTTCCGCATCTGGTAAAAATTTTTGATATTACCTGGATTGAGAATTTTTCATATATATTAGTGGCAAGCCATCCATCCAGGATATGTCCTTGTACTATGCCTATGGGAACATCCTATTAATTTTAGCCGTACCTCAGACATATCTGTGTCAAAAGAGTAGGCATTCTTAGGTCAATCCCCCTGTTATACCTGTAAAGAAGGAGAGTCAACTTGGTTTAATGGATGTAGAATTGTCCTTAGAATCAGGGCTAGGTTCAAATGCCATATCTGACATGATACTGGCTATACGACCTTGAGCAAATCACTTAAGTTTGAAAGCCCAAGGCAGCTCTCTAAGACTCAAAGTTGCCAAGTTAGTAAGAGGAAGTTTCACACCAGGACCCCTAATGAAACCACAGGTCCAATTAAAAAAAAAAGGAGGGGATAGTAATACCTACACTATGTGCACAGGATTGTCAAGAAAGTGCTTTTTAATAAGTAAATTCTTTTTTTTAATAAATAAATTCTAATGGGTCATATAAATGTAAACTGTTATACAAATAGCTGGCCTGTGTCATGTTAGCAGCAGGAATGGGCTCCCCATGGAATTTCAGAAAAGGAGTATTTCCTAAGCCAAACCAACCGTGTTCCTTTCTGGGAGGCCATTGGAGTCCACAGCTGTGGTAGGGATGTTTCTAGCAGCACTCTGTTCCCTTCTTATTGGGTGGCAAGCAGCTGGTGCAGCTGTAGGGAAAAGATTCTTCCCTGGGTCATGTATTCCTTTCTTTTCCATTTTCCCATAGAAATAATATGTTACATACTTCTTTGGTTCCCAGGTTAACTTACATATGCAAAAAAAAGTTCCTGTTTATTCCATAATATACCTAAAAAATAAAAGAAAGAAAAGTACAAGAAGGGGAAGAGGAACAAGAAAATTATTTTCCTAAATCTCAGGTCCAAGCATGTCAACCTCCCTACTCAATAAACTCCAGTGGCTTCTTATTGCCTGTAGGATCAAATTCAAAATCCTGGTTCACAACTTAGCCCCCTCCTACCTTTCCAGTCTTTTTACACCTCCCTGCTAGACACATATTCTTCCAATCAGTGACACTGGCCTCCCTGGCTGTTCCATAATAAAGGTGCTCCATTTCTTGACTCTGGGCATTTTCTCGGGTTGTTCCCCATTCCTGGAATGTTCTCCCTTCTCTGCTCTACCTACTGACCTCTCTGGCTTTTTTAAAATGCTATCTTCTACAGGAAGCCCTTCTTGATCCCTCTTAATTCTGATGCCTTCCCTCTGTTAATTATTTCCTATTTATCCTATATATAGCTTGTTCTGTACGTATTTGTTTGCCTGTTGTCTCCCCTGTTGGATTGTAAGCTCTTGGAGGGCAAGGACTGTCTTTTGCCTCTTTAACAAAAGCACTTAACACAGTTTCTGACACATAGTAGGAGCTTAATAAATGTTTATTGATTGATACTAGATAGGGATATTGTTATTTTCATCAGTATTCTCATGTGCTCATTTTCAAATTTTTTTTTTACTGATTGCTCAATTGGTAGAATAATAGATATTCCAATTCTAGAACAATAAGGATTCCAGGAGAGGCAAGATGGCAAAGTAGATAGAAAGCTGGCCTCTGAGTCAGGAAGAGCTGAATGCAAGTCCTAGCTCTCCCACATACTGGTTGTATGACTCTGGACAAGTCAGTCAACCTCTCATAGTTCCCTGACAAGTCTGTGAGGCTTCAAGTTGTATAGCAGGTGGGATTGGTCTGGCTTGGTCAAGGACTATTCTCTATTGAGAGTCCCTTATACAAATTAATTCATAGGCTTCATCAAAAAAACAGAAAAAAAAATCCATTGATTCACTTGGCAATGGGCATAGGCTTATAGCTTTTTAAACAATTATTAATAATGGCTTTTGTTATTACGAGTTCTGAGGTTGGCTCTTCTAGTTCATCTTCAGAAGGTAAAAGGAAGCATGCTATTCATGGAGAGAAATGTATTAACATGTCACATACTTCGCAATTTTGCAGTTATTGATAATGATGATGATGATGGTCCTAGATAGCAGGGACTTCTAGAGTAGCACTAAATATTAGCAGAATGCTTAGAAAAGGCTTTTTCACTTGTACAAAGGTGGAATTCTGAAGCTGCAAGAGATTTATCAGAGGTCTAAAGAACGTTGGAATGAAAGCTGAGAAACCAGGGTATTAGTCCAGGCTTTTCAACTAGCTGTCATTCACATATCTGGGCCTTAGTCTCTTCATCTGCAACATGAAGAGATTACACTAGGCAACGTCTAAGATCCAATCCTAACATTCTGTGACTCTGAATAGACTTGGGTGGGGTGGGGTTAACTGGGAACCTGGCCACCACTGATAACATTATGAAAAAATGTGTCCCCTACTCCTGAACTGTTTTACAAATGAACTTTTGGAACACAACTCTTTTGTTAGCTGGGGACTCAGTGCATTGAGTTTTAAATAGTTTCTTTCTGTGTGAATTAATTACAGACACCCGAAAGTGGAAATGAAGAGCAGAGGAGTCAGGAATTGGCTCATATGGAAGAGGCCCGAATGGTGATACTAAATAACCTTGAGGAACTTGAAAAAAAGATTAAAGACCTCAATGATCAGATGGATGAATCTTCCAGAGAGGTAGGAAGCACATGAAATCATTTCTCTCCCTCTACTTACCTTCTCTCTTTTCTTTCTTTTCCTTTTTTTTGGGGGGGGTAGTGGCGGTAGTTAAAAGCTTTCTGTTGATTATTATGATCAAATTATGATAGCTGAATGAGGACACCAGCACAAACCATCATCAATTACACATTTATTGGGCCTCTACTATGTACAGAACAAGAATGCAGATATCTCTTAGTGAATCAACTGAGACAAAGATGCCAAGCTTTTATTTTTTAAATAAGTTTTATCCATTAACTTGCTTTTGTATAGTATATGATTTACCCTATAGAGTCCATTAGCTGAAATACCCATTTACATTTTGGTTTTGCTTAATAAATGATACCTATAATATCTAAGGGAGTAAGGAAGGTGCTTACTTGTCTTTTACTCATACCATCTTTGTTGGCAAACACTAGAAACTTTCCTACATTTGCCATTGCTTGGAATCCCATACTTTCACTCCAGGCTGTGTGCAATTTTCACTTTGACTTTAGTGAAGAGAGCCAAGAGGTATGCGTCTGCTCCCAAATTAGCTGGTGCTCAGTCTAGATACAAGAAGTTGATATAATATCCTATAAGTATGCTCTACTGTAGCCATTCCCAAGTGTGGCCATTGGACCCCTGGCATCCCTAAGACCCTTTCAGGGGATCCACAAGGTCAAAACCATTTTTATAATAATCCTAAGTGGTTGTTTTTACTATTAAAATACTCTTCTTTTGTACATTTATATAGCTGTGTAAAGCTGAATTTTCCTGATAGACTTCAGCCAAAACAACCTATCACAAAAGATTGAATGCAAAAGCAGATATGAGAATCCAGCTGTCTTCTGTTAAGGCAGATATTAAAGAGATTTGCAAAAACATGTCAAACAAATCATTTCTCACTAATTTTTTTTTATTTTGGAAGTTTTTTTTGTTTAAAAAATGTTGTTTATGTTAATATGTAATAGGTTTATTATTATTTTAAATGAATTAATAAGTATTCTAAAATTTTACCTTTTTAATTTCTAATACAGTAAATATTGATAGATATAACACACATGAACAAAAGCTCTTTGGGGTCCTCCATAATTTTAGAGAGTGTAATAGGGTCCTGAAATTAAAAAGACCCACTGTTCAAAGAGTAGGCAGAAGAAGTGTAAAGTAAGATTAAAGGAAGAGGAAAAATAGCTTTCTTAATAAAACTATGTTCAGGTCTCAGGACTTCCACATACCTGACCACATAGTTGAGACGGTAAGCTGGCTCAATCAAAATTTTCTTATTGGTTTGGTCTTGTAAATGCCCCTACAATGGTCAGATAAAAACGCATTGACTCTGGAGTTGAGGACCTGGATTCATATCTAATGTTTACCACTGCTATGTCTTTGGGCAAATGATCACCTTCCTAGACCTCAGTTTTCTTATCCTGTAAAATAAGGGGGGGGTTGAACTATATACCTTTGAGGTTCTTGTCAGCTCTACATCTATGATCTTATGCTTTGAAAGAGACACTCTGAAAAATGTTTTGTGTTCTCAGGGAGATATGGAATTTGCCCTTCTGGATGGTGAACAGAAAGCAGAATCAGCCGAACTTATGAAAGAAAAGGAGATATTGGACCATCTAAATAGGAAGATAGCAGAGCTTGAAAAGACCATTATTGGGAAAAGACCAAGGTAAAAGCACAGCAAACCAAAGGCACTTTAAATGATTCTAATACTGATCAATTGCATTTTTTTTTCTTATGGATATATCTCTCTGTATTTTATTAAACTTGACATTTTGAATAGTTTCCCATTCACTAAAATGTTAACAATGGATGCATTACCTCTTGACTTCCATTATTTCGGTATGATTGGTCACATTCTTAGAATGGCAGTACTATAGACCAAAGGGATAATATGGGATGGTTTGGGTCAAATGATGAGGTAGTGTTGCAATTGGAGTGAGTTATCCATCTATCCAAGAGCAAAGACACAGGTGGTTTACTAGCTGGCTCTCATAAGAATCTGTTGTTCCTTCAGAATGATTAACTTTTTTTGTTTCTTTGGAATCCAAATAGTAGACATGTTGTTTGGTGTAATTCCCTATTGTTGATATTTCACTTTTAGGACTTAAAATTGTACAACTGTGGATCTCATTTTTCAGTTTGTTTGTTTGTTTGTTTTTAAGATGGGTGTTTGTCTTAGTACAGTGGCATTAACTGCAGGTGTGTTGATCTTGGCAAACATGCCTAAGTTGTTCCTGGGCACCCTCCCCCAATATTAAGTGGGGAATGTGAAAATCCAATGAGAGCCATGGCAATAGGTGAGAGATACCCTTGATGCACTGGTTGGAGATTTTACTGAAAAAGGTTGCTCATAAGCAGTGTAGGTCCCAAACTGGAGGGAGCACAACACAGCCACTACCTTGTCATGATTCAGGGGTTGCAGATTATCCAGGCCCTTCATTTGTCCTACTTTGTCCTGTTCACCTTTAGAGCCATTAGAAGAGAGAAATGAGGCAAAGAAAGGAAGACTTCTTTCTCTTTCACACACTCACCTCCCCCCCCTCGCCCCTCACAACATAATCAGACTGTATATATATCCTAATGTTTGATTGGAGGAGAGAAAATAAAGGAAAGTCTAATGTGTGTATATGTGCACACACATGCAGATGTGTGGATGTCTAGCTATCTCCACCTGCATGTCTTAGTGACATCCTAAACTCAATATCCACAGACCAAACTTATCACCACTGTAAGACCCAGTCTTGTTCTTATTTTTAAAAAATTATAAAATTTATATTTTCACATAAAATATATAACTATATTGTATTACAAATAATTATCAATTACTATACTATATTTTCTATTTTAATTATCTATTTTATAATATATTTAATGTATACTGTATATATATATATAATTTGAATTTTATACTTATACATTTTAATCACATAATTATTTTTAATTATAATTATTTAAAAATGTATAATTATATAAGAAAAAATATTCTATTAAAATTTATCTAGAACAATTTTTATTTCATTCTATGGCATTACTATCCTTTGAGTTACCCAGGTTTGAAACTATGACTCCTCCCTTTCCTTAATCTCTCACATCCAAGGCTATCTCTTCTGCTCCACAAGTCCTCTCATATTTGTCCCCTTCTCTCCACTCACACTGCCACCACTCTAAATTAGACCTTCATCTCCTCCTGCCCACTAAGTAGTCTCTTCCCTCTCCAATTCATCTTTCACATAGCTGCCAAAATAATCTCCCTAATGAATGGATATGACTGTCACTTTCCTGCTTGAAAAACTTCCATTGACTCCCTTTTGCCACTAAGATAATTTAAACTTCCCACAAGTTGGTTCCAGTCTACCTTATTTCACATTGTTACCTGTCATATACTCTTCTGTTCCAGTAAAACTGGACCTCTCTCAGTTGGCCAATCTTGTTCGTCCCTTTCCCACCTATATTTATTTACTCAGACAACCCCTCCCCATTTCTCCTTTCCCTCTCTCTGCTGAAATCTTTCTTTTTTCAAGGTTCAACTCAATGGATACTATCACCTGTATCCCCTTGGACAGGTCTCTTAACCTCTCTGGACTTCAAGGTTATTATCTGAAAAAATGAGCAGTTGGACCAAATGATCTCAGAGATCCCTTCACTCTAAACCTATGTTCCTTTGGCCTCTTCCATGAAGTCCCCCAGCTGACCCCTGCACCACTCACCCCTCTCCACATGTCAGGTAAATGTGCCCTATGCTTCAGTTTTCTCAGAGAATTTGAACTCTTCTTCTCCTTTATACTTACCTCACTCTTCTCCCCTTGTGTCACACTTATTTGCTTACCTGTTTGCCCTCATTAGATTCTCCACATTGTAAGGGTCCTAAATCCTTGTATCCTCATCCCATAACACATACCTTGTTTAAAGAAGGCACTTTATAAATTATTATTATCAAATTACATAATGTCATTTAATAAATTTCTAAGCCTTAAAGCACTAAATAAATGCCACTTATTATTTTAGAGAGGCCATATTTTGAGTACAGGAGTTGGAGTCAAAAGAGATTTGGTTTCAGTCCCAGTTCTGCTACTTACCTAGTGACTATTGGCCAGTCATCTAACCTCTCTGGGACTCAGTTTCCTTATTTGTAAAATGGGAATAATAATGCTTGTACTTCTACCTCACCAGATCAAATGTTAAAAAAAAAGAATTTAAAGTCCTTTGCAAAGCTATGTAAATGTCATTTCTTGTTGCTGAATCAAATATAGATTGGGCAGGTATGTATGTACATATTGTGTATATGTATAAATATTTACAAATAAGCTTGTGCATATATATCTATATAATACATGCATTTGTATTCATATATCACATATATTATACAATAAGCAAGTAGTTATAACATCTATGTACTATGTATAAATTGTGTAGTATTAGAGCTCTGGAAGAGATATTACAGATTATATATTCATCTTAAAAATAAGGCAACTAAGGCATGAAAAAGTTGAATGATTTGCCCAAGTTAATTGTTGTGAAAATTAAATAAGAGTGCATGTTTTGTAAATCATGTTGGTGAGCCATTTTTGTCATGTCCAATTCTTTGTGACCCCATTTGGAGTTTTCTTGGCAAAGAGAGCTGTTTGCCATTTCCTTCTCCAGCTTATTTTACAGATGAGGAAACTGAGGCAAACAAGGTTAAATGACTCACTCAAGGTCTCACAGTAAGTGAGATTTGAACTCAGGAAGATGAGTCTTCCTGACTCCAGGCCTGGTGTTCTATCTATTGCACCACCAAAAAATCATACAATGTTATATAAATGAAAGGCATTAAGCCCCTTAGTCCATTGATGGCAGACCCAACCCCCAGCATTCCCTTCGGATACCTTTCTTTATACTCTAAAGCCTCTTCCAATTCTTTATATCCCTATATGTATGCAAGTTATTATATATGAATGTTGTGTGATATGTATTATATGTATATATAAGACAGATACATAAAAAGTTTACATAGCCATAAAGAGATACAGATACAAACATACATACACACCAACTTTAATCCTTCTTTTCACTCTCCTCTGCTGGTCAAAAACTGGCAAAAGCATTCATAGAACTTTGTAAATGCAAGGATATATTTTTGATTCACCAAAGTATCCTAAGTCAGTCCTTGAAATCCAGTATCCTGTGCTAACTAGTCACACATGCAACTTAGTTAAATAGCATGATGAAATGTCTAACATGGTAAGCATCATCATCTACATGTAATAGGATGTTCCAATTCTCTGATGCCATGGTTCCTTATATTTGTTTCTTCATAGTTGCTGGAAGTATTTCACAGGTTTGTTCTTCATTTTTTGGAATTCTTGGTTATTTCTCCTTTGAGTTATTTGACTCAGTTAGCCTCCCTTTTTGCGTAATGTTGTTTGAAAGGTAATTTTGAGCAAGAGATGGAGACTCATGAAAGGAACAAAAGAGAGTCTTAGACTTAGAACTACTAAGACTGGAGGACTCCCCTGCTTTGGGAGAGAATCCAATTGCGAAGTCCTAGAAACCCAGAACTTGAAACCCCACAATATGTGATGTTTTTCTGTTTACCTGTCTTATGGTTTTGCCAGACTTTCCAGTACTTGTTGGCTAAGACTAAATCAAACGCAGCTATTGCTACTTTGGGCCGGCTAGGTGACACAGTGGATAGACTGACGGGCCTGAAGTCAGCAAGACTCATTTTCCTGAGTTCAAATCCAACCTCAGGTGTATGACCCTGGGCAAATCATGTAACCCTGATTGCCTTAGTTTCCTCATCTACAAAATGAGCTAGAGAAGAAAATGACAAATGCCTCCAGCATCTTTGCCAAGAAAATCCCAAAGAAGGTCACAGAGTCAGAAACGACTGGAAATGACTGAACAACAACAATTATCAGTTCATGCCATCTGGATGTTTTTTGTTTTTTTGTTTTTTAACTCTGACCAGGAAATGTGTGACCAAGGAAAGTATTACATCTTGAAGAAGCCAGTAAGGCTTATAGGGCTTCTTTCCACACCTTCCCTAAGATGTTTTAAGATGCTATGAAAGCAAAACAAAATAAAACAAAAACAAAAACTGAGGGCTTTATAGGATGAGAATATACCCACATTTAAATCAACCAGCTTAGCTTTTTTATCTTAAGAAAAAACACATAAACAAGAAATCAGAAAGTCTTCTAGAGTCTGGGTTACTTAGAATGACTTTTTTTTTTGGTGAGGCAATCAGGGTTAAGAGACTTGCCCAAGGTCATACAGTTAGTAAGTGGCAAGTGTCTGAGGCCAAATTTGAACTCAGGTCCTCCTGACTCCAAGGCTGGAGCTTCATCCACTATGCCACCCAGTTGCCCCACTTAGAATGACTTCTAAAGAATGTGTGATTCTCATGAGATAAACTCATGGGTAACCTGATGTTTTTGGGTTAGTCAATATATGCATGTCTATAGTGTTCCTGTGCCTGATAAAAACTTCAGCAGCTTTCAAAACTAGGTCTATATGTTAAGCCCTTAAGAAGTGATTACAACTTCACTCAAAAAAATACCAAAAAAGTTGAAGGAGAAACATATATGTATAAGGATCAAGAGAAGACGTTCAGATTTGGCAACTGATGGAGTTACCAATTCATTGGTAACTTTGAAGAGAGAGGTTACATTTGAATGAG